ATCAGCACCTTTCTCAATCAACAATCGTGCAACTTCTTTGTTATTTCTAGCTGCAGTGAATAAAGGAGTTTGTCCATAAAAATTATCAATTACATTGATATCAGCACCTTGCTCAATCAACAGTCGTGCAACCTCTTCGTTGTCATTTTCAGCTGCATCGAATAAAGGAGTTCTTTTATTGTTATAAGATACATTGACATCAGCACCTTTCTCAATCAACAGTCGTGTAACCTTATCGTTGTTATTTTTAGCTGCAATAAATAAAGGAGTTTGTTCATATATATCAGATACATTGACATCAGCACCTTTCTCAATCAACATCCGTGTAACCTCTTCGTTATTATTTTCAGCTGCATGGAATAAAGGAGTTCTTTTATTGTCATCAGATACATTGACATCAGCACCTTTTGAAACGAGTAGCCGTGCAACCTCTTCGTTGTTATTCACAATTGAATAAAAGAGGGCCGTTTGTTTATTATGATTTCTTTGATTGACTTCAGAACCTGCATCAATTAGTATTTCAGCGATCTCTTTATTGCCCTTAAATGCAGCACACATCAAAGGTGTTCGTCCTTCATAATCTGTGACATTAGGGTCTTCACCTTGAGTAATTAGTTCACGTGATAGTTTATTATTGCCGTCGAGAATAGCTTTTATCAAAGGAGTGGGGTTTGTTGAATYATCATACCAATATCTTAATAACCAACTCATTATTTGATTGATCTCCTTTGTTCAGTTTATTACTATTTTCGATCGTTTCCTTTTAAGATTTGGAAATGTGGATCATCATTTTMYMTTCTCATCTTRAARGTGGACAGTCAATCACTAGCATACGTTTAACACTTGGGTCTGAAGAAGCAAGAATTGTAACATTCAATGATCACTAAACACCATAAACATTGTTGAGAAAAACAAAATTACTGGATCGTCAAAGGAAATTGTGGAAAATTGCTACAAACGTTTCCAACCAAATCAAACCATCCGGGAATAAGTTTCATTGCGCGTTGTATTTTCATTTCACAGTTGAATTCTTAGAAACAAAAGTTCTTTTTCCCACAGGACTTGAATTGGATGGTAACGTACATGGTAACCGTTAGCCGATTAGGTCTATTCCTTCATTTTTGATCTCTAAAATATAGCATCCAACACCATATAAAGAAAGCTTCAAAATGTTTTGTGTTCTTACCAAATGTAAGCTGGATTTGCAATCATCACTCAAAACGAATCCAAGGTAAACTGCTATGTACTAAGCACTTTGTTATATGTCTAACGATATCACAGTGCTCGTCATCACCACATTTCGTTGTAAAGCTCTCAAATTTCCTTCTGTAGCTACATGGCTTGCTTTTATTTCTTTTGTTGAGTTCTTGAAACAAAGGAAATCAGTATCTCAGAAAGAATTAGCTATATTAAGATGCGTTTCGTCGTACATTTTTCAGTTAATATATAGGCAGACAGAGCGTTTCCTGTAGTGAGATTTCTAAATTATGATTAGTTTACCCTTTGACTGGCGACTATTTTTGAGAATTTTTACTTCTTTTATGGTAGAAAGATTCAAACAATGTCTTAGAAAAGAAAAGCAGGGGCGGACCCAGCATTTTGTAAGGGGAGGTGCTTTTGTCAGTAATAATATATAAGTATAGCAGATGGAACTGATCATTTTTGTTAGCGCGTATTGTCTACAGCAAGAAAAATATGCACAATCTGACCGGAAGCAAATTAACGTTTATTGCAACGCCATCTTTGACTCCACTACTCAAATGCAGACACATGTTGTGTATCCTACTAGCGTTTTCTTGATAAAAATACAATAGGAGTATAAACAGGACAAACAA